TAATCTCAGATTTAAAAGAAAGAAGAAAAAAAAAGGAAGAAAACCCCTTTTATGGCTTTAAGAGCTGCCTTCCATTTAGTAACAAAGAGGTTGAGAGGTGTTGAGAGAGAGAGAGAGAGAGTGTGTGTATAAAAATTTGTATATGCGTGCAGAGTGCAAATGCATTTCTATATACAGATTTAGAAAGGGATCTTATAGATTAGGAAGAACCAGTGGAAATTAGACAAGCTCAACCTTGAAGCCGGAAGCAGTGCCCTAGTCAAACTGGTAGTTAAACTTCAGGGCAGGGGAGATGGTGGAATCATTTATAATCTTTAAGATAAAATTAGTGTTTTTTTTTTTTTTTTCTTGTTAGATGTACTTCAGTCACTCTTCTGGGAGCAATGTAATGGGATGGAGAGAGAGATTAGAGTTGAGTGACTGCAGTAGTCACTGCAGGCTCTAAAATATGTAAATCCGTGATTAAAAAAAGGGACACGTGAAGATGCACTTCAGAAGTCCAAGTGCAGTGTCTGTCTCGCCTGGCAGTGCCATCCCAGCCTCTTAGCGTGGCTTCGCATACGTTCCAGTTACTGAATATTGTTAACATATGTTGTGACAATACATCATAGTTGAAATATTGCTTAGATTCAGTTTCATATAGATGCGGGGTTTCTCTGAACGTTTCCAGGTACTGGTAATGGAAGAACAGGTACTCCCTGCGATTTGCTTGGGATGCATTTATCCTGGTTTTATTGGGATTTCAGCTTCCCTGTGTGTATGATGGTTTTCATTCCAGACTCCATGCAGGATGACTGTTACTGATTAAAGTCTTGCTTTGACCAGCGTGGAAAAGGAGCACTTGGGTGAAATGGGGTTGGTGAAACATTTTTGTTCAGATCTGTGCAGACCTTAGAGTTGATTCATTCCTTGTGGTCAACCCAGTCTGCCCCTGCATCACCTTTTTTTTTTTTTTTTCTCCCCATTTGTATGTTTTTAAAGAGTTATCATCCATTACTGAGTATTGTTTTCTTGGAAATTTTCCCAAAAAGGTTTTTGCCCTGCCTCTGGGTGGAGAAGCTGTACCTGGCTGCACATTGTGACAACCCCACATTGAGCACAGAAGCTTCTGGGCATTTCCCATTTAAACCAAATCATTTTGCCGTTTCCCCCTTGGTCTGGGGAGTTTGAGGTTTCATGACTGTGGACAGATTTTAGCCATTTGCTAAAGCAGGTTCTCGCACCCGGGTTTTCAAATCCTGCCCGGGGAGGAGGCGGCTGCTTCTGGTGGGGACGGGCACATCCATCCGTAGTCATTTACGTTGGCTGTGGCAGAGAAACCACCAGGTCTGTGCCCGGGCTGGCAGGGAAGCCCTTCAGCGCGCTGATCCCAGAGGTCAGAAATAACTGGGGGTTTTGGCAGGCTGCTTGGGCTCGGGATAGGCGCCAGCTTCCCTAGGCGGCTGCTGCTTCCCGGATCCAGGCTGCCGGAGCAGCTGCACAGCTGGGCGCTGCGCACAGGGCACAACTGGCTGCATTTCGGCCCCCTCTGGGAGCTCAGAAACAGCTGGGGCGGCCGATTTAACCAAGCACCCTGTGAACTGCTGCCACACGCAGCCCAGCGCCTTTGGTGGGGATTGCTGCAACCGGAACGGCAGGCAGTGGGCGTGGTGGCTTTTTAATTATGATTATCTTGGGATGTCCCTTAAAGATAACCTGCTTAGCCTCTTCTCTGGAGGGGAATAGCTGCATTTTAGCTCTGTTTAACTTTTCTTAATACAGAAAAGGAAAACTGAAGAGAACAAACTGTGTGCCAGCACTGTGCTTCAACTCGCTCTGCTTTTATCCCTCTGTGTTTATGCAACAAACTGCTTTTCAATTCCTTGAAGTTGCCGTGAGACTGGCCTTTTTGTTATGCATCCTCTTGTGAAATACTATTTTTGTTGGGAAGTTAAGATTCGGATGTCCGTGCTGGCACTTAACTATTTGTAGCTGCAACCTGCACAAAACTTGGATTGGCTTAATTGGAATCTTGGAGGGATTTGTCTTCATTTGTCTGAGAGAATGAGAAGCTAAATGAACCTCATTCTTCTCATTCTTACCCTTTCAGATTGTGCTTCTGCCGCACTCAGGTTTTGGTATTCGTTCTGGGAGTTTTAAAATATGAATAAATGATAAATGCTTATGTCTTTTCAGATGTTTTGGTATGAATTTCATTAGCTAATTTATTTAAATTTGCTGAAGAATTATTTTCCTTGTTTCGAATGAAGTTTAAAGCAGAAAAAAATAGCTGCATGTTGCTTATGGGACTGTTCCCGGTTTTGGTCCAAATCTGGAGAAAGGTAGAACTTGTGAATGTGAAATGTTAAATGGTTGAATAAGTATTGCAGTATTCCAGATGTTCGGATCCACAGCACCAACAAATTCCCCCCTTCTCCCTCCTCGTTTTTTGTTTTTATTTGGGAGTTTGGGAGTCCTCTGGGCTTTCTTCCTTCTAAACAGCTCTGAGCTTCTTAAAACTGGTCCTGTTAAAGCTGATTGCTGTCCTCTTCTACCTGTTTTTTAAGGTAAGTTAGTAGAAGAGAAGCTGGGAGATCCTTGGGGAAAGGCAGGCTGTGTTGCGTGGGCGTTCCTGGAACAAATGTTTGACTTATCCTGGTGACACCAGAAATGTCTTTTCATGGAAGGGTGTTTAATGGAAGTGAATGAATAGAGGGGAAAAAATATGGGAAAATTGGGAAAGACTCCTAACAAATACTAGCAATCACTTGGCAAGTGTGCATTTAGGGCAAGTAAATGTAGTATCTATTAGCACATGCTGCTAAGTGCCCTATTTATGAGGGTTGAAAACCACGTGGCTTGAAAACAAGGTTTACATACGCAGTGAGGGCTTCTCTAAAAGCGTGTCTTACCGTAACACTGTAGTAAAATGCACCCTCTTGTGGCAAGAAGAAAAATGTCCAAGCAGAAACCTGTCTGACTTGCGTTTTTTTCCATGCTCACCACTTTACCCTCATTTATTCTTCATTGAGCTGCTATTTTTGCCTTTCTCCTGTGCTCACTGGTGTATGCACCACATGCACTTTCCTGCTGTTTTAGAGCAGCGCATTATCTGAAATAAAAGTCTGGATAAAGAAATAAAAGTGTTATAGACTATGCTGACTTGCTTCATTACTTCAGTTTATCCAAAGACTAAGAAGAAAGCAATAGGGATCATCTACAGACTGGATTAGGAAAGAACATCCTACGGTTCCCACCTGTGGGATTAACCAGCTTGGAGCTGGGTTAAGCAGCGTAGCAGTGTGCAAGGAAGGCACAACATCACCTTCAAAGTGCACAAAAAGCCCCACAGAGGGTTTGCACTTCATCAGATTTGCTGCTGAGAAGCTGCACATGCTGTTCAGAAAAACTTCTCTCGTAGCACTGGCCTCACCGCGCCAAGCAGTCTCACAAAGCACCTCTGAACAAGGTTAAGCAAAGCCAACCCACTGCAAAATAAAGTATGGGATAAGTAACAAGCAAATATTATTTGTTGCTTTCATTTAGTACCAAATCTTGTAGTCGGCGTGAGGTGTCCAGGCGCGTAAAGTGTGAACCCTGCTGAAAAGTGAAACTCCTGCTGATAGATGAGACCTTCAGCAGATGCCATTAGTGTTTTCCCTGGGCAGAGGAAAATAACCATTACATGCAAACACTTGTTGTGTTTACATGTTCATGGCATTTCTCATATCTCCAAAATGGCTCTTCTGCCTGCAGAGCTAATGATGGCCCTTGAGACCCAGGGATACCAGTGAGCTCATCTCAGAAGTGGTAGAGGAAAACGATGGCAGAATGGGCTGTGCTGGGACATCACTGTAAAGGAAACATAAAGCCCCGGAGAAGGGAAAGTCCAGGCAGGCGGCAGCTTTGATGAGGTGCTAGCTCTTCAGGTTTCTATCATTTTTAAAGAGCATTGTCAGCCAGTAAGCAAAAGCAATACTCCTTAGGTGACAATAGAGACCCAGGGTAGGCATTACACATGCAGTGTCCTGATGCCTAGAACTATTTCAAAACTAATCTGGAAGTGTTTTTTCTTCTGCTTTTTAGGTATCTTGCAATATATTCAGAACTCTCCCACCTAGTGACAGCAATGAATTTGATCCAGAAGAGGATGAGCCCACCTTGGAGGCATCGTGGCCACATTTACAGGTTTTTAAAAATTTATCTGAGTAGGCCTTAGCATTGCTTAATGTATTTATTATTTTACTACAGCTTTTGCTCACTTGCGAATCAGAACTGGTTTACAAGGTGTAGGAACAGAAGTCTACTTTTTCCTTTACTAATATTGTTTTTGGCTAAAATAAAATGTGTGCAGAAGCAGAGTACTTGGTATGTGCAAGAGTATAGCTTTCTTGTAAGATTAGGTTGGTGGTATTGCTTGTGTTTTATTCTCCTTCACTGGCTAAAAATTTGATTTGCTTCCCAAGTTGCTCTGATGCACACATGCTTCCCAGCAACTCAGCAAGAGCAGTGTGGGGATGATCTCAATAGCAGTGTTTGTTTTATTGAGAACAGCTAATTTTCATACAAAAACACACAGGTGTTGGCTGCTGATTAGAAAAAACAGATGAGAATCTGCATGTTAGTGTGTTTTCCATCCCTCTACAGCCCCCCAGGCCAGATTTGCTTTCAGGTGTTTATGGCAGGATATATGATCAGTGCTGTATATCATCCTTCCTTTGAGCCTCAAGTGTCAGTGCAAGATACTTTGAATAAAGAATATAAAGTAACTTTGGAGCGAGTCAGCAGCATTGGTGCTATTGCACTAAATCCCATCTGTGTTAGACAGGACTGTGACTTTTACCACAGGTAAGTTTGCCTGAGAAACAGTTTGTGTAGTCAGGGAATTTCTGTGAGCAAAGGAGCATGACGGATCTCAACTTAAAATAAGGATTTTATTTGACAGTTGTTACATACAGTCGTTGCCTGAGAGAAGTTTGTTTCCCTCTTTTGTTCTCTCACAATTTAGAATCTGTTGAATTGCAGGTTTCTTCTCTCATTTATATTTAAATCTCACGAAAATAAGAAACTTCTTCAAGGAAGCTCTGAACAGCTTTTGCTGCCTGGAGACAGCACAGGCTGTTCAGTCTGTTCATCTTATGTTCATTCACAACAGTGCTGTAGTTTTAAAAGTCATATTTACAGGCAAATGAGGGAATTTCTGAGCCAGCGGATGATTTGCCATTGTGAGAGTGAAAGCCACCTAAGAATTTGTCGGGAGATGATGGAATTGATTTCCTGTTGAATTAATGTTAGTTATGTAAGCTCTCTCATATTGTATTTCTGAGACTTTCTCACTTTTTTTTTGATTTCATATTGTTTCCTTTTAAAAGTCAGAGAACACTGACACAGAGCAGTTGCAATCTCGCGGTAAATTGGTATTTAGCAAGTGAAAAGCTTAAAATGGTTTAGCTGGTTTATGGTAAAATGGTTTAAAAATCTAACTGATGGCTTTCTTCTTCCAATACCAATATGCATGCCCACAAAAGCCAGAAGCGAAAGCGTGTTATTACAGCTACTACTCTTGAAATGTTTCAGCAGAGAATTGATAACGGGCTCATCTGATGAGGCTCAGGACAGAGTTGCTGTCTTATGAGGCCTGGCTAGTGTTTCTTCCACTTCCTTTCTGCCTGGTTCATAGAGTTTTCTCATTGTACACTAATTAGTTTAGCAGAGATGGACTTTCACAAGAGCAAGCAAGGATTATGATTCCCTGATCCTGCAGCCCTGAAGCCTTTGCAGCAAGTTAGGAATCGTGGTTCAATCCTGATTTGTATTCATCTTCTCTGTTTCACGTTGTCGTAGAATGCTACACTAAGCAATTTCTAATTTAAAATAAATATTTCCAACTGCTTCAGCAACCCTTTCAGAATCACAATTTCTGTATTTAATGCGATGTCAGCAGTTCAGAGGGCAGTCAAAATGTGCTTGCCAATTACTCTTGTAAGCTTTACAGGATGCAGATAAACACTACAAGGTGTCAGGGCCCGTTCTTAGTAATGAAATCTCTCTGATGGGAGTTAAATAAGCAAAACTAACCTACAAAACTGGTGTTATTAAATCTAGCTCGAAGGTAGCAGTTTGATAAAACAGGAGAATGTCTTGCATGCATTCCTGGGAAAAATAGCATCTTTTTTCTAGAGAAAGAGTTTAGGGAAACGTTTAAAATAACTTGTAAACTAAAGGTTATTCTTTTTTTCTCGTTTGTAGCTTGTATATGAGTTTTTCATACGATTTTTGGAAAGCCAAGAATTCCAGCCCAGCATTGCCAAAAAGTACATAGATCAGAAATTTGTATTGCAGGTAAGCTGATCTGTTTTCTTTCAGGTTTCACTTTGCTTTCAATGTTTGAAAGATTTTGTTTGAAATGTGAAGCCGTAGCTTCATTTACAACAGAAAAAGAGTAAAGAAGGATTTACAATGAAAGTTTTGAAAAAGGAGAGATGGGGAGTTGTGCATGTGCATATGTGTCTGTGCTGCTTTAGGCAATACTCAGTTTTCAGCAATAGATCTGTCTTATCTAGGCGATACTTGATTTGGCCTTTTCAGTTTTCAGCAATAGATCTGTCTTATGTTTTTCATTAATGTCATGAATTCATGTGAAACTCGAGTCAGAAAGAACTTTGTGTTTACTGCAATCCATAGCTTGCTTTTGCAATCTGAGAAATTTCTAAAGATTCCTATTTAGTTAAGCAAGGGAATTTCCAGGGTATTGAGACTTGAATAAAAACCAAACCAGAAGTGGCAGGAGATGCTCAGCATTTCTGAAAACCTTCCTCTCACCTTTTCATCATGGGGCTTTTATTTTTCCCTAGGATCCCCAGGGTATAAAAGCAGTGCTTTTGCTGTCCATGTACATTAATCACATAAAAAATACCTGAAAAATGCTCCTGAGGGAGCCATTTCTATCCTTAAATTCAGAGAGATTTGGAAGGGACTTCGTTTTCCTTCAGAATATCACAAGATGTTCTTCACTCTAGGGGTGGAAAGTATTCTGGTTTTATTTTATCCCTCTTCTAAAGGCAATGAATATTTATTTTTTTCCTGCATCAGACCTCTATGATGGATTTTCATTTTTTCTCATTTAAATATTGATTTGAATGAAAAGGTGCCCCAGTCCGTGATCTTTCAGTAGCTATTGGAGTTGTAAAAATATGCCAAAGAATATGTCAAAATCACTAATGGCAGCTTTTCTAAGTCTAATTTTAGAGTAGCTTTGGAAAAGATGCTTGTGTTTTACTTTCAAATATAGAGAGATACCATTCCTAGGTGTTGCTGGTACGAGCAGGTGAACTTGCTCATGAATGGAAAATACCCTCCACACATAGGTCTCTTCAAGACATTCATCCCAGTCCTCATTTGGCCCAGGAGAATGCTGTCAAACGAGGATTTTTTGGATCCTGTTAGCCTGTAATCATGCGCTGAATGAAACCATGAGAGAAATATAAGCTTTCAAAAGCTACTTACCTGAAAATGTGTGTTGAAACATATCAGAGTTCAAAAGAATTTCCAAAATTCAGGAGTTCTTGCTATTAGGTGAAACATTTTTATACGTTGTTAGGCACCACATGTCAATTTAGTATTAAAACACTTATTTTTTCTGTAAATGACAGGTTTGAGTGTTGTTGTACATGGAGGTGTAGATATATTTGTGTGTGTATAAAGGGGTGAGTTTGACCGATGGAAACTTGGGTGTCCACGCACTTTTTATTACGTTTTTGTATTTGTATAGAGTAGCTCCTAATCTGTGGTTACAGCAGATCACTTGCACTGGAAACTAAGCTGAAGCTTAGTAACATTGAGCGTGTTTGGTGAATCCTGTTTTGTAATACAGACAATGCAACTTTAAAGCAGCTTTTTTTTTTGGCAGTTTGTTTTTAAAATAGTATTTCTCAGTAGCGAATACACCTGTATACAAAAATAAGACTTTTTTTTAGTGGGCATTTTTCAAAGGGCTGTTTTGCTTGGGTTTTTTTTTTGTCTTTTTTTAAATGCAGATGCGTTCCTGACATTCAGCTTCTGACAGGATGCTGTACTTTTCTGAAAACTGCCTATATACAGTCTGAAACGGTTGTTGCTAAGAGACATAATGTTCACATACCTCCCTGAGTATATATGTTACTGTAGGTTGCTTTTTTGGAAGTTCTATTTTGCATTTCTAAGTACATTTAGTGTCAGAGTAGTCACAAGAATTATGGAAACCTTGCAGTCTGCCTGTTGAAATAAAACTTTATGGGTGAAATTTGATAACAAATTGGACATATCAAAAGATATACCTGTTTCTGCAGAGGCTATGCGTAACAGAATGGGAAATGTAAATATTTTGCTTCTAAAACCAATTCACTAATAAAATTAGAAACCTAAGTGTCTCCAGCTGTTTGCTGTCTTTTTTGGGTGAAAATCGTTCTTTGCAGGCGGATGAGGTGTGATTTATTTCGCATTAAGAATTGGCACCTCTGTAAGAAGCGTGATATTTTTAATATGCAAAACCATTTTTTTCTATATATAAACCTTTCAGAAGAGGTATGTAAGTTAGAGATGGGATTCAGAGTGGAAGAGTACAGTGTATTTGCACGAGAGCTGGCGGTGACCGTACCCAATTCCCAATATTCTAATGAACTCCAAAGCTATTAGTCATTCCTGCCCAGAGCCCTGTTTCCCAGCTCTGTCCCGCCAGGCATCGCTCTGATCCCTGTGAAAGCGCCCAGGTTCTGCACAAGCCCAGAACTCTTGAGTGAAAGGAATTCGTTCTGGTGTAGAAATTACATTAGAACTTCCTTGAGTAACTAGAGAGAGGAAGTTGGTTACCAAATGTGTTTATGATAGGTATTTATAATGTATCTGTTTGCTAGTTGAAGGTAATTTTGTTTTCTACAATTCTTGTGTATTTTCTGTGCCAGTATCTTTGTGCAGTTGTAAGATCTCTTTGGCAAACTGCCCTTGTTTCTCTTGCAGGATAGGTACTGGCTGCCAATTGCTTTTGCATGCGAGATAGATCCTAGCTGCCTATGATTATTACCTTAAATTTCTTTATGTTCCATAGGCTTCATTATTTTTTTTTTCTTTAAGTTTACCTTCAATTTCATTCCAGGTGTCCTGCAGCATAACACCCATAGTGTTGTGCCAAAAAACGATGGGGTAGGAAGGGTGGAAGGAAGCTCATTTACTTTATCCTAGAGAATTCAAGACAAATAGGGCACAAATGCTATAGGTGATATTCCTGCACATTTAATGACTTGATTCTTAAAAGTAACTTCAGATTTCAGTGTTTCGGGTTGTATTTTGTACAGTACAAGATGCTGGATGGTATTCTGTTTTCACTGAGTGTTGCATAATTATTTTTAAGTTTTTTATTTTTCTGTTTTAAAATCTTATTTGAGAGATTCTTAGTACAAGCCTTTTTTATTGGGCAGCGAAGCTAACATTTTGTTCAACCTGCAAGATTAATCCTCCTTAATTCTTTGATTCATCTAGCCTGGTGGAGATCCTGTGACAGCAGATCCATTGCTGGCATGGGCTTCAGTGTCAAGTCTTTCCACAACGTGAAGCTGTGTAGCTACTTGGGAGGCTTAAGAGCTCAAAATATAAATTACAAGCAATTAGAAAAATGTGACCTTGATGCAGAGTTTTGCGGGCAAATTATTAGAGCAATTGAGGATCTCTAGTTGCAGAGAAAGAGAGAATAGTGGAGTGGTAATAGGCAAACTGGCTTATTTCTGCTGTGTGACAGCTCCTTATTATTATTATTACTATTTTAATTTTTGTGGAGAAGAAAGGCAAAATTTTTCTCCTAATCAATCAAAAGTGTGTTGGTTGTTCAAAGACTGTGAAAGACCTGTTATAATTGAAGCAGAGATTAGTAAGATGAGTTGCATGATGTTGTATTGAGGTCACATCATATATTAAATACTAGATTTCTACATCTTTGATGCTGAAGATAGCAGATTCACCTGTGCATATGCTTGCATGGGCATAACTTTTATCTAAAGGTCTGTATATAATACTTGTCAAATATAAAGTCAAGCCACTGATTCCCATCTTTCTTTAAACACAGCTGTTGGAGCTGTTTGACAGCGAAGACCCTCGAGAACGGGACTACCTAAAAACAGTCTTGCACAGAATTTATGGCAAATTTCTCGGTCTTAGAGCATTTATCCGAAAACAGATTAATAATATTTTTCTACGGTAAGTTGTGAGAGAAGATACTTTTCTCTTACGAGCCCTTTAGGAAACTGATATATTATTTATATTTAACTTTTCTTTTTTTAGATTTGTTTATGAAACGGAACACTTCAATGGCGTAGCTGAACTGTTGGAAATTTTAGGAAGGTAAATGAGTCCTTATTTATTACTTAAACTTTCGTTCTGGACATGTCTGAATAGTGTCAGACTCAGAAAAATTACTACTTAAAACCATGATTCTTAAAAAAAATAAGTAAATAAAATTTATGCAAATGCTCATTTCTAAGCCCATGTGCAAATCTCTCAGGTCTTTGCCAGGTTTATCTATTTGATGCATTTTGACTCCATAAAGTGGTTTTTTTTTTTTTTTTTTTTTCCTCCTTGTGTTCCAGCCTGGGCATTTCATCTTTATGTACTGCAGGCTTTTTAAGCTCACTAAAATCTTGTGAATATCTCAAGTGAATCTAGTTCTGATAAGTTCAGTTGTTAATTACCAAAGAGCCTGCTGTATATATGAATTTACTGGCCACGTAGAAAAGCCTTATCTGTTTGGCAACAGGTTTGTGCAGCTGTTCACTTAATTATTCTTAGGTCGGAGCAGAATTGCTACCTAGATGTGTACTGCATTGCTGGTATCAAACACAATAAAAGTTGGCATCTTATTTAGCCATAGCCTGAACTTGTCTTCCTGAATAATGATTTTAATCTAGAAACTATTTGTTCAGACCTCAAGTATGTTTTCTGTGATCATAACGCTAACTTTTTTTTTCTTTTAATTTCTAGTATTATCAATGGGTTTGCTTTACCTCTTAAGGCAGAGCATAAACAGTTTCTGGTGAAGGTGCTGATTCCCTTACATACTGTCAGGAGTTTATCTCTCTTCCATGCACAGGTAGAAATTACAAAAATATTTTCTGTTAGAATGATACATTATTTTAGTTGCTTTGGAATTTTAACTACTTAGCACAAAAAAAGGTCGGGGGAGAAGATTTTGTTAACAGATGTTTTTATGATAGCTATTTTTAATTCATTAAATGTGTTTTGTATTAAAAATACCTTGCTTCTGGTTGGATGATTAAAAATGAAAATATACATAACCTCTATATATCTGTAAGATTTGGGGCTTATTGTTTGGTAATGGAGTTTCAGAGCTTATACTCTGCTC